GGAAGATGAAAGAGACAAGGATAGAAGGGAGAAATGGGATGGAAGAGGGAGAGATGAGAGGGGAGGATTATAAGTTCACTCCGAGTGTTGAGAGGAAAGCAGAAGGAAAAAAAATTGGAGAGTTCTGAGGGGAGGGCAAAACGAAACCCACTTTTGATTTTTTTTTTCTTTTTTTTTTCTTCGCCTTTCAACCTTTTCCTCCCTCGGCTGGGGGGCAAATGAAACGGCCAGTGCTAATCCATGGTTGGTTAAAGCTAATTAGATAAGCCATTAGTTCAACTAACTAACTAAAAAGATTTTCCATCTTAAAGAGCATTCATTATCTTATACTGTGTACGGAGTAGCGCTAAGATACAATCCTACAACAAATCTCGTCAGCAAGTAACTGCATTGTAGAGAGTTTCTACTACATAAGAATTACCTTGGATAGATTCCATGATTTAGGCAAATACTAGTTATGGCGTGTACTCCGTATTAGTTTAATATACACCTTACACGCACAATATTGGACAAATATTATTTGTAGCATGTTATTGAGACTAGTCGAGACTAGATTCTGCTATCCATTGCTTATACATCCCTAATTCTCTGCCCCGAACCATGAGAGCAGTACGTTAGACTAACGTGTCTTGTAAGAAGCACATATCAACTAAGATTCCAGGATAGGGTAGGGGTCAGGTGTCATTGTACTCCGTTTTTAAGACTTTCAAGAATTATATGTTGTTTGGATGTGGATCGCTCCACTCTCTTAAGAAGAAAATTTTACGTGTAAACTTAGCAACCGTTTGGACACATATAATCGAGTTCTCATGTCACTCAGGGGACCTCCCTCCGAAAACTATTCCCATAGAGACATTGTCGCCTCTACCACAACTCTAGTTGTACAGTAGCATGATGAGAAAGTCAGGGCTATAATTTAGATCATTAGCATAAGTAGAGGAATGGAGGTTGTGATAACATATTAACACTTTCCCTAACACTAGCACCGCTTGAATAATACTGACGCTCGCATTCTTCGTCATTCTGTAGATAGGATTTACTATAATAGTGTTTCATTATTGAATTGGTTTATAGGTATACATACAACCGAATACCCTTAAAGCCGTCATGGTCCAATATCACCCCTCATGATAAACAGCAAGCACGGGAATCCTCTATATTAGATATAAACCTCATATATTTATGATGTAATTGAGACTTGAAGGCTATAGCAGTATGCAAAGAACATCAAGCTTCACTCTGTTTCTCACACAAACTGCTTCAACAAGAAGGAAATACATATTGAAATAGAAAATAAGAGACAGACTCTCAGATGTTCTTCAAAGCAATGAACTAAGACCAGCTTAGCCAGTCTTTTTGTCACCTGCAATACACAGGAAGACTCGGACCTTATGCCAGGGGTGATTCCTGAAATCATGAGGCAATAGGGACAATTAGAAGCTACAATGGTGAATACTTTTTTTTTAGGAAGCCTGAGGCATTAAAGCGGCTAGACACCTCCACCAAGAAGCAAATGTGGGTATCTTCATTGGAGTATTTCTGTCTTTTCTCTTGCGGTCCTGATCCGATCTGCTTCCTACTTGCTCCTCAAGCTGGTGAACGTCAAATTACACCAACTCGCGACCAAAGACGCACATCGACTGCGAACAAGTCGCCAAAAAAGCCGTGCGTCAGTTATATTACACCCAAGTCATTTCATCGAAGGTTTTCGTTCCGTAAGTATCTATATAATAGGAACACCCATAGTTCTTGCCTATTAGCACGGCCAGTATCTCTGTAAACAGATGGCTCACAGTCCAAAGATAGTTGGCAGTTTTTCTATCCGCATCACCGCACGCTCCTCATCGTTCCAGATGGACATCGATATGAGCAGGAGGAATAAGAAGCCCCGCCTTCTGCTGGAATCCGAACGGGAAAGGCTTGAGGAATTCATCGATTCTATCCACTACTCCGCAAGGTACATTGACTCTCATATCGTAGCCTGTATTGACGTAAATGCTGATTTCCCCACAGATATTCCGATGATCAATTTGAATACCGTCATGTTCAGCTCCCCAAAAACATGCTTAAAAAGATTCCGGCCGACTACTTTGACAGCTCGAAAGGAACTCTTAAACTGCTCTGGGAAGAGGAGTGGAGAGCCCTGGGTATTACACAGGTGTGCAGGCCCGATCATTACTGTAGGATTTTCATGTCATAAGTGGTCTAACTTCATCGATGGTCAGAGCTTGGGTTGGGAGCACTACGAAGTTCATGAGCCTGAACCGCACATTCTGCTATTCAAGTGAGTGCCTTAATTTGAGCCATGTTCGCCTTTCTGGTACTGAGAGTTGTGCAGGCGCCCCCTCAACTACCAGCCCCCAATGTCACAGTAAATATACCTCGAGTTCGATGGTCAATATTAGCCTTTCTCTTCTCATTTCCCCATTGCTTGGACGAGCAAATGGCCGCGAAATAAGGTGAGGAGTATGCTTAAGTCAGATTGTTCTTAGGCAATCAGGTGCTTCTTGCATGAAGTTTCGACAAGAAATATAATTCAATGCTGCTAGAAGATACCTCGTTTGTCGCCTAAGCCACCACGCACTGCCACCCTAAGGACCGTCCTACTGTGCTTCACCCTCATATATTCTATTTGCAGGATGCTTTGTCTAGAAGGGGGTTTCAGATCACGTTCTTGGCCAACCATTGCCCCCACTGGGTAGCAGTAAAGCTGCTACTGATCCCCGGTTCTTCGATACCCTAGATGATGGTGTCAGTGCATCGGGTCTCTTTTAACATTCGCGCAACTAGGAATGGCATACATTGAAGCATACGGTCGGAGAAACATGGACTCCCACAGCACGGTCTGCCTAATTTGTTGTGTTAGATTGGATATGTCTCAAATCACCGGAGTCTTAATATCTTACTTTGACCATTTTCTTGATATCCTCGGTGACATCGTTACCAGTATTCAGTTCCCCGTTGTCACTAGCTTTGTCGCTAACAGTCAAAAGCTTGAGCACCTCCCGCTCCTCCACTCCAACACGTCCGGCAACCTTTGCCAATCTTTCATATGTTCTATTGCGTGTTTCATTAACCACGCTGACGTCAAAAAAATCCTTCTGTTGTTTGAACAAAGCGGCACTGAATTCCCAGAATTTCTCGGGGGCGACTCTCAGAACAGCTGCCCCCGCTTCGTGCATCAATGTTGATGATGGGTGCCAGGGTTGGATATGTTGGCGAAAAATGACCTGCAGTTTGCCCCTGTATTGACTTGCAAGTGTAGATTTGACTGAGCTGTAGAACGTATCGAACATCTTTGCGGAGAACTAAGGTTAAGTTTAGCCTACATGCAAAAGTATAGAAGAGCCTGCACTGTGGACTCACCGGACAAGCATAGTCAAGATCTCAATTTGGACTATCATCAGCAAATACGTATATGCCAATTCAGTGCCTGACATACAGAGTTCAAGTGTGTGTTGCGGGTGCTGATCAGTACCGGCCCGCAATCTGTGACCTGCAAACTTTGGGGGAAGAGCCATTGGTGATTGTACTAGGAACGGTAGGCGTACTCTTTGTAATTCGGTTTGTTTTTGCGGATGCGAGATGCGGTCGCCAGGTAATAAGTGTACAGTAAAAGTGCTTATAGAGGTGGGGTAATGAACGCCTTACGTCATGTCACCTTGCAATTCACTTGATAAGTGATATGGGCCGCCCTAAGACAGTACAGCCACCAGATTTCTAGCCGTAAGCTACTCATATTCATGGCCCAGTAATAACAGTCGCACAGTCTTTTAATGAATTGACCTTTCCGATACTTGCTAATTGATCAATTGACTAAGCATGCTAGCGTTATATCTACTCGTGCATGTCTGTATAGCTTATAGTAATCTCCGCATTTGGAGTGCATTGACAATTACAATAACTATTTCGATCAATATCCTAGGTGCCGGATTCCTGAGAGGCTATAGCATGGAGGGACAAGCTCACAGTTTAATCAATACCCAGGCAATAAAATAAGTTAAAAAGAGACCTCATAGCATGCAGTAAATCCCGTATCTTTGTTGAATCAGGAAGCACTTTGTCAAATGAAAGATAGACAGCCGTTGTTAAGGGCCACCAAGCGCTTTTTGGTTGAATATGCTCACATCCTTAAGCTGCATCGAAATCAAAGACCAACTGGCCGTTGCTGGATCATATTCACCTTTTACTTCAACCCTGCAAAACCCTCTGGGGCCTTTCAAGCCGACAGGGCCGATAAAATAGAACCCGCCACGCCGAGGACGGTGCAGTTCTTGGGCCCAACCGTCCTTCAGCCGCATCTTAAAAGCTAATGAGGCTGCGTACAGATCAGACCCGGGACCAAACTTTGGTAAAGGTAAGCGCTGTAATGTGGAGATAATTAGAGAGGGATGAAGGTCAGCGCCGCCTTTGTCTCGCAATGTGCCCTCCTGAGAACCAGTAGGCGGAGTCAAATGTGTTTCGGACTGATGCATGGGGTGCAACTTGTCCAGGGGCTGAAGCTCGGACGATAGCGCCTTATGGGGCGGTAGACTTGAAGTGCCTGGGGCTTGTTCTTGCTCTAACCCTGTAATACTGAGCCGGGAAAGCTGTCTTTTCACCAAGATCATATAGGCATCCTTTATGGCAAGTGCCACAGATAAAGGCTGTACACACCTCCGAAGACGGTCGCCATCCTCCAGGGACATAGGTTTTGAAACCCAAGACATTCCACCGTCGGTGAATTCTAACCTACGCATCGTAAGCAAATCCTAAGGGTTGTCCTGTCATGAATCCACATACCCTGAGCGCCTGTAATCAGGGGGAGCGCGAGATGGAAAATGATGCACTAGCCAGAACCCTGTCACGCTAAGGGGGCCCCCTAGCACGCGCGACAGTAGTTCAGACTGGGAGGCATCTTTCTGAACGATGGATGCCAGCTCATCTGCACATACAATATTTAGTCAAGGACTAAAATGCAACCAAATCAGCCATACCTCTCAGGCATTGAAGCTTTTCTCGGTCCCGCGAGATCTTAACAAATTCTTGCCACTCCTGGTCCGATGCTGCATATAGTTCACCTTTGCGTAATCGTGGCCAGCCCAATGGAATGAAAACAGGATCAGAATCTATCGTTCCGCTCGCAGGGTCCTCAAGACGCCCCTCCGTATCATCTTTTTGATTTTCACCCACACCTGCCTTTCCAGAGAGTCCTTCCTGTTTGGCATCGGCATCGTCTAGCGTATCATCAAACTGAAGGAGAACGAACGAACTCCACAAATGAAATGCGGTACCATAAATAAAAAATGTCGTAAGAAATCTCCTGAGGATATGTCAGAGAGTGGGATATCTATAGTGAAACTAAGATTTATACCTACCTAAACCACGGCCGTTTAAATTTGACATGGCGCACATTGTTGAGATTCGAGGTCCGAGACAAGGGTGGGCTGACTCGAAAATGAAATGTAGAATTTGGAAGTATTCGCCTGAGTCGAAACATTGAGAGATCGCATGTATGGGCGCTGCTGTTCAACAAGAGGGCATATCTTTCACCCGTTTCTCAGAGTCCTACTATTGACATGCCCTAGTATACTTGAAGAGCAATATGGAAAGATAAGAGCTTGTCTTCAAGGTCCAAATAGAATTGAGATCGTACGAAAGGGATACTCAAAAGCCAAAACAAAGGAAAGAGAAAAGAAAAAAAGGGGGGGGAATTTAAAAAAATAAAATAAAAATAAAATAAAAAACCTATGTGTTCTGAGGAGGTATGTACACTTCTATCGAAATCAAATACAGACGAGTAAGCAGCCTCTGGAACCATTGAAATCCCGACATATCAGTCCTTAGTCAAGTGGGACAGCCCCGATATCTATCACGTGATACGAATTAGCTCAGTCATGAAATACTAGTAAGTTTTGGGTTAGTGAGAGCTGAAGCCATAGTTGCTGCTATCTACCCGTAAAGAGGTGCGGGTGCTTCGTCTACTTTACGCTCAAATGCCAGTTCCCGATTAAAAGGTCTACGCTGAAAGACCACGGGGTTGTTAATCATCTAGCCTAGCAACACTTTTACCATCACAAGCGAGTTAATTGCTAGTTCGTTTGCCCAGCATGCATCGGCTCACTAGCTTCCTGAGTCTCTCATTAGCAATCGCATCCGGAACCAGGGCTTTAAATGCTTCCATATTCACCTTCAGCCCATCTCCACCATGGCAAAATACAAAGACTACGATGGTAACCGATGACATAGCTCGACATCTCTTGGAGCTTCGAATGAACGTACCTACCGCTTCGGCTCTAGGGAAGTGGGATCAAGACCTAGTCGAGCTTTTGGACACATATGGTGGCACACCACGTCCTTTGTTTGGCGTTGATATCGACAATAAGGACGTCACTAGGAGCCTTGTGATTCTTGAAGGGATAGGGGCCGGACTTGGTATGTTAAAAACAACCGTCGCTATTCAAGACAGCTGACGAGCTGTTACAAGGATCTACTATTCAGCAAGAGTACCAAGGAGACCTCGTGATCGGTAGCCCTTCAGCCAATTACCTAATTGATGATTTCCTCGACTCATCATCAGAGGCTAACTCTGACGGCTATGTTATGGCTAAAAAGAACTATTGCAAATCCGATAGCGGAGGCGAAACCAACTTCGATGTTCTTCAGGTAAGAAAGAAATTCTATCAACTGGATTTTACTACAGCTGACTCTGACCTGCCTTAGACGATTGAAAAATGCATTCCTAAGGGCTCTGCGTTCGAAGCGGTAGCCCACATATTCGGCAAAGAGCTTCTCGGCATTGTGAAAGCGACGGAAACATGGGTGGACGAGCAGAGTCTAACAGCAGTCTTGAAAATCTCATTTCAGGTATGCGCCTACAATACCTAGTTGGCCCAATGAAGTAATAGTAACATATGGCAGTTTCCTGACGAATATGTGGGCTCTGGCTCTGTAGCTGGTTCGCTGACGTCTGTTCTCCATGGTCTACGTGCTCTTTCATCAGAAGTTAGACAGGTCACAGCAGTTCTTCTGCCTACATCTAGTCAAGAGGAAGGTTCGAAACGTAGGATGAATCCTCGAGGAGCCGTGACAGAGGAAGCTTCTGTAAGATCGGCTAGCGCAGCAGTTATGACGACACTCCAAAGGCAAGCACATCCAGTTTGTTTCACCTCGAATTCTTCGTGCAATTTGGCAACTGATAGCTGCTCTGGGCATGGGTTTTGCTATAAAAAGTCCAGTTCAGCCAACGATGAGGCCGCTAGCGATTGCTACGCATGCAAATGCAAGTCAACCATCGTCACCAAAGAGGATGGTACTGTTCAAAAACTTCGGTGGGGAGGGCCTGCGTGCCAAAAAAGAGATATCAGCTCCCCTTTCTTCTTGATTGCTGGTATCAGTATACTGGTGGTCATGGCGGCAGGTACTGCTGTGGGGATGTTGTTTCACATTGGACAAAATGAGTTGCCAGGTGTTATAAGCGCTGGGGTTGGCCCCACAAAAGCGCAAAAGTGATGTCAATGCTATATACATTTCATCCAAATCCTCTTGAGGGCGGGGACTCTTTGAAGTCAGTGTGATTTGGTTACCACAGCCCAGAATCGATCTTATAGTAAGATACGAAACTTTGTTTTCCTAGTATATGCATTGCGAATATAGTAATTTCATCACGATGTACATTAGAACAAGTAAGAATAAACAATCGGGGGTCAGGAAAGAGAGAGAGCAGGCTTAAATTGCAGAAGCCCATACCAATTGCAACTCTTTCCCGATAAATACCTAACCAACTGCCTTTCCTAAACCCGAAAATCCTAAATGCCTCGGAACCATTGCGCCATGAACGCCACGCCACAGGTAATAACTTTCATGAGGACCTAAGCTATTAAGCCAAAAGCCTAGAAAAAAAATGTAGACGCCTAGGCAAAAACTTCACACATCCTTCTTATTTAAGACGGAGTTGTCTTTCGAATGGTGAGGTACTTCAACGTATTATACAGAACAATATTTATGTCTTTGCGTGATCTTGCACGCTGTGAATAATCGTGCCGTTGCCAAGTGGCATTCCAGATGCCATGAAGTGAGGAAGGGCAACGTTTGATGTGAACTGGGTAGGGTAGCCGCGAAACATAATTCATGAAGCTGCTCATGCACCAGACTGGGCTTCCAGTTGGCTAGGTGTCCGATCGGCCGCAGGGTGTGCAGTGTCCGTCGATTGCGGCATGCTCTCCCTTGAATACTGATTCCGAGCGGAAAAGGATAGAAAAGAAAGGTTCAACGGCCTAATAGGCGTAAATCTAGTCCTCCAATCTCGCCGGTCCGGAGGCTCTGGGGCTGAGCTTGACAGGTTACTAGTAGGCCCAGAGTGGTGATCTTGTATTCGCCAAAGACGCGGTGCAGTTAGCCGGGACAACTGGGTTCCATTTCTCGGCGGAGCCTGTCGCTCTGATATAGCTAGGGGATTCCGAAATGGGTTAACACGTCCTTCTATAAACACTGATTGTGGTTGTGTAGGAACGGCCAATCGTGTTGTGTTGCGACGGCCTGAGCGTTCTGGATTAGGTGTTTGTCCGCCAGGATCAGAGCGAGGCTTTGGAACATAGTAATCGGCCTTGCACAAGGGACAACAGGCTCTTCGACTCGTTAACCATGGGTCGACACAGGATGCATGGAAAGCATGACCACATGTAAGCCCACGTATGTCATCGTCATCTTCGATCGTATCAAGGCAAATTGCACACGAATCGCCTGGATTGGGTAAAAGTTCCGCTGGTACTGCGGTGCGAATTTGGTTATTAACATCCTCGTCACCCTCAAGTGAATTGCAATTCTGTAGCTGTTTTGTGTCTGAGTCTTGGGTGCCATCAGCCACTACAGCAAATGATTGATCGGCGTTCTCCTTCTCTTCCGGTTGCACTAAGGCCGTCGGTGCATGTTCAACTGGTATAGATGAGTGCGATGTGGTCGAATCACATCGACGGTGGCCTTCCCTTGGTGAATTTGTTGTGGAAGAGGGTGCCCCAACTGTGGTAGATAGAATGTCATGTTCACCTTTCAAGCTCTGGGGCCTGCTATTCGGTGCCGATATTCCGCCTGCGGTTGGAAGGCCTTCATTCGCACGCGAAGATCTCCACGCTTTGTATTTGACAAGTGGAAACCGTTCGTTAACTTCATCCATACTCATCAACTTTTTTTCTCTCCTCCTCCTATGTGTTCGAGGCATGGTTACTAAATCTATCGGTTCGCCCGTTTCCTCATTGCGTAGTTGGCGGTTTCGCTGATTGTATCGGAAGCAATACTTTACCCCAACAATAATCCTAAACGTGGTCGACAAGGTTAGCGCACATTTCAAACATAATTCAACGTTGGGCATACCATAGGTTCGTGAATACAACACCGAAACCAAGGGCAACGAAGAATAAGAGGGGCGAACTTGTGGGGCTTGAGCTACTATCATCCCCGTTATGATCAGTACTGGTGGCAGTTGGTTGTGGACCTGTTGCAGTGGACGCCATCTTGACAAACGTAGACGTGATGATACACTGGAGGGGTTGAGCGCAGTAAACGGTGCCGGCCGTCTCGATTGTTAAAAAGTGATGAAACTGGAATCTCCGAGAATATTCACATGAGATGTCGTCGAGAAATCAACAACCTATATTAACTTTGTCCCTGGAGCAGGTTCTAGCACGCAAAAGCGATGGGAACAACCCGACTCATCTAGTTCAGGGTAGCGACACAAGGCACACACAAAAATGCGGATCATCACTGGCGGCGGCTGCGCCCGGGGCTGCTGAAAGAATGGCTACTATTGTCAACCCGGGACGTATATCACATTTGAGTCTAGAATGCCGTTGATGGAGACAGCGATACTCCACATTAAGGTGGGTGGTAATGCCTGACCAAGGCCAATAGCTAAGCAGTCAGGTCACGGGGTGACTTATCTACTAGTACTCTTACAGTACTCCGTACATAGGTTTCTTGACTTCGTCCCGCATTACCGTACCTGTAGTGGTACAACAATCTATTGACATAGTTTAAAAGTACTTCTAGGTATGTTCTTAAGTGATTACCGAGTGACTTTCATATCATATATTTGATATTACTTTGTATGTATATTAAACATGTAGCACACACCTTAAGCTGTACTCGAGATAGAATGCCTCGGTAATAAAATCAATATAAGATTAGTTTGACACTTAATATTTTATCACGATATAACGAGTGAGGTCTGCTGCACATATGATTCAAATAAGCTAATCTGAAAGTGGGGTTTATGGAGTCATTTGGGGAGACTTTTTACGATTGCCCTACCACTAGTGGTATGGCGGAAGCCTCTCCATACAAGTTTTATATCGTCTCACTACCACTATTTTTCTCCAACCACATTTGGTTTCCTGATAGCGCGGACCTGCAAAATGGATAGTCAAACTATGAGCTCAACTGAGAATTCAAACCCTGTTGTCTTTTTTGACATCACTCTAGGTGGTAAGTAAGGAAGATAATATTGGGTAATCAACCTTATGAAGAGATCCGACCGCTTCGGGGGATGTCCAGCCTCGTCTCACCAGCACAACTCAATTAGAAATATGTCAATATGGAATATGGAGCTGGGAAATCTGCCTTATTAAATAAGATCTGAATAGGCTGAGCATACATCATCTCACAGGAGAGTCACTGGGACGTATCAAAATGGAACTTTTTACCACTATAACGCCACGAACAGCAGAGAATTTTCGCCAGTTCTGCACAGGAGAAAGCAAAAGTCCCCAAGGACGGCCACAGGGATACAAGAATAGCAAATTCCATAGAGTTGTGTGTACAATACATATCCTCAGGGCTATGTTTCTGGGGCTGACGCATTAAAGATCAAGGATTTCATGATTCAGGGTGGTGACTTTGTCAATGGCGATGGCACAGGTTCTTGTACCATCTATGGCACATCACGATTTTCAGATGAAAATTTCGTTTTGAAGCATGACCGTCCAGGGCTACTGAGCATGGCAGTAAGTTCTAGTACGAAAGCATAGGGAAGTGGTGATGCTGACATGTCCAGAATTCTGGACCCAACACAAATGGCTGCCAATTCTTCATTACAACTACTGCGACGCCGTTCCTAAATAATAAACATGTGGTGTTTGGACAAGTAGTGGAAGGAATGGACGTTGTGCGAATGATTGAAAACACTCGTACAACTAGGGATAAACCTAATCAAGACGTGACCATCATTCAGTGCGGGGAGATGTGATACTTGATCAAAAGATCGTTTCGAGCCCTAGGATGATTGAAGAGGAAGTGGATCCCCATATGCCCAAGCAATGAAGAAACCATTACTTGTAGTGACCTTCCTGAGCTCTATCCATAGCACTTGACACACTTATAAGCTAGCTCTTTTGCCATACTTTTCTTTTCCCCTCCTTGTCCTCACAAGCCAGTAGTGTCTCAATTTATTAAAAGCCGCATCCAGAGCTTAAAGCTTGAACTTACTAAGATAATCAGAAGCCAAGGCAATAGCTTCGTCAGTTTTGTCGGGGCTAGTACCACTGCCAATAGACGTGGGCCCTTTGCCACCAGCCTTTCCACCGACCGCAGTAGAAACAATAGCCGCCCATTCGCTGGCGGAAGCTCCTTGATCGCTTATTGCCTAGTGAAAATACCAATTGTCAGTGCTGGACGAGGGGTACTGACTGGGCTGGCGATGATATTACCTTTGACACATGGCAGCCGTGGACGACACGTCCTTGGTTAGAGTCCGCAGCCAAGACGTAAACTGTTTTATCCTGCAGCTTCGACTTCACGTGGTTCAGGGATTCGCTAACAGCTTTTGCATTTGCTGAGATTGGAAGCTTAGCAACAAGCCACGACTTATCTTGGTTTTCTGGGTTTTGGAAGTATGAAGTAATTGCCTCAAGCGCCTTCTTCGATTCAAGCTTTTGTTGCGCTTTTTGCGAATCAATGATTTGCTTGTTGATATGTGCAAAGCGTTCACGGAACCTTGATTTTTGAACCGCTGAGATTAATAACTGGCTAAGGTCGACTTGAATTTGTTTGGCATCCTGTTCTTTCTCAGGACCTAGAGCCATTGCTTCAAGACGGTCCAAACGCTTCTCGAATTCCAGAGCGATGCGCTGCACTTCATGAGCATCCTCTCCGGTAACTGCAATTATTCTGCGGATGCCTTTGGCAATGCCGCTCTCTTCTAGGATAACGAGTTCCTTAATGTCGCCTGTCTTTTGCACATGAGTTCCACCACAGAACTCAATACTAACTTTTTCCCAACGAGGATCTTTAACATTCTTGAGGATCTCCTCCAGCTCCACGCCTACAGACACAACACGAACAGGATCTGGATAGGTCTCACCGAAAACAGCTCTAACCCCTGAGATCTGTCGGGCAGTTGCGAGAGGAACCTCCTGCGAGTAGACGGCGCAATTCTGGCGAATATACTCAGTCGATATATCCTCAATCCTTTCCAGATCTTTATCTGCGATCTGAGATTTATGAGAAAAATCAAACCTAAGCTTCTCAGCAGCAACAAGTGAGCCCTTCTGCTCCACGCCATCTCCTAGTACCTCTTTCAGCGCAAAATTAAGAATATGCGTGCCTGTGTGGTTGTTTCTGATGGGCCACCGACGAAGCTCGTCGTATTCACAAATGACTTCATCACCAACAGAGAGCGAACCATACTTCATGAAGCCAGTATGAAGAACATACCCAGCATAGAGCTGAACATCACCAACTTCAAGCTCAGCCTGTCCGTCAATGATAATTCTTCCTGTGTCATTTTCCTGTCCGCCTTGCTCGGCATAGAAATTCGTGCGATCAAGTATAAGCCCAAGTTGGTCACCCTCGGGTATCTGTTCCGTTGAGGGATGAAAGGATTTTCCATGGTAGATCGCCTTAATCTGGGCAGTAATGTTCCCTCTATCGAACTTGGCCGAATCATTCGTTTTGCGAACGTCACTCATTTTCTCCAATTTTCCAAGATCATGAACATCCAGTTTGACGGTGTCGGCGGCAGCTTTTTTCTGTCCTTTACTTGCTTCCTTAGCTCTTGAGCGAGCCTCCTCGAACTCAGTATCATCAATTCGCAGGCCACGTTCCTCTGCCATAATACGAGTCAAGTCGACTGGGAAGCCAAAAGTGTCATACAATCTCCAAACATCAGCACCGTGGAGCTTATCATCTCCCTTGGCCTTAGCTTGCTGAGCATAATGTTCGAATTGCCTTTCACCACGATCCAGAGTCTTTGCAAACGAAATCTCTTCCTCGTCAAGTATTTCCATAACGTCTTGCTGTTTCCGCTTGATCTCTGGAAACATGTCACCCATCTGATCCACAAGGGTCGGTACGATCTTGGAGAAGAAACTGCCAATCTCGACCCTGAAGTATTTTCTGGCATACCGAGCACCTCTGCGAAGCACCCGACGAATCACATAACCACGGCCCTCATTATTCGGTGTGACGCCATCTGAAATGGCAAATGTCAGGGTTCGAACATGGTCTGCTATAACCCTGTAGGCCGTGTCGATTCCATCCGGATCTTCGACACCGAATCGTCCCTGATATTGCTGTGCTCCAGTGATGTCCTTGATGGTTTGGAATAACGGAGAAAACACATCGGTGTCATAATTTGATGACTTATTTTGGAGTATCGAGACCAGACGCTCAAAGCCCATGCCAGTATCGACATGCTTATTCGGGAGGGGCTTCAAAGAACGGTCTGACTCACGGTTGTATTGAATGAAAACGTTGTTCCAGATCTCAAGAACGTTGGGGTCATCTTGATTGACAAGGTTGGAGGCATTGCGCCCCCCAATCCTGTCATAGTGGATTTCACTGCAAGGTCCACAGGGACCCTGATCACCCATTTCCCAAAAATTGTCCTTCATATTCCCAGGAAGAATGTGGTCTTCCGGAACACCCACTGCTTTCCATAGCTCCTTGGCTTCCAAATCGGGTGAGAGGCCACCCTCCTTGCTCCCCTCAAAGTAGGTAACATATAGCCGTTGCGGATCCAACCCATAGATCTTTGTCATGAGTTCCCAAGAGTAACTGATCGCTTCCTTCTTGAAGTAGTCGCCAAAACTCCAGTTACCAAGCATCTCAAAGAAGGTCTGTTGTAAGTCCCCTACTATCAGTACGTGCAATAATAATAACATGTATGAAATTCAATATCGCCTCACATGATGATAACTGTCCTTTCCCACATCGTCTAGATCCTGTTATCGCTGCGGTTAGTTATTTCAGAAACAGTAAAGAGATTGCCTTCTATTTGTCACTTACATTATGCTTACCGCCAGCACGGATGCACTATTAAAATAACTTAGTTTTGCGACTTTCATGAGGGGCAATGATTTTCATGTAGTAACCTTTTGAGTATTGACTGCGCTCTTCAGGTTGGCAAAATCAGATTGTGGATCCACGGTGCCTAGGAAAATCGACTTGAACTGATTCATCCCAGCATTCGTAAAGAGCAAGGTTGGGTCCGAGAGAGGAACCACAGGAGCTGATACAACTAGTCGTACGGTCCAGTGTTAGCTCGTTGAAAAATCGAGAATATAAAATACAGTATATGGTATACCAAAAGTATGTCCATTTTGCTGGAAATATTGAATAAATGCATCCCGAACAGACTTTGCAGTCCACTCTGGACTACTTTGTAGATTTGAATCCATTCTGAATGGTGGTGAAATGGTGTTTGCAGGTAACGCACTTCGAAGTGGGGGAGGGGGGGAAGTGTGAAGATGGTAGAATGTTCTGGGTTTTGACCTAAAGGGCGACAGCAGATGAGTCAAAGCCAGTTGCCCATCCCTCAAAAGCTTAGGGGCTCGCATCAAGCTACCCACTCAGCGATGCATCCAGTTGCAGCGGGTTGACTTCGCGCGTGCCCAGGATAACAGATGGTAGATTATAAAATTCGTCTTGTTAATTTGCAGAAAGTTCTCTAATTGATTACCCGGCTGTTTGTGTTCGGATGGCGCAGCATCCTGATGTGGGAGTTTATCACGGAAAAAAGCGCCCCGCGGAGAGTGACCCTGATGGAGATCAGCCTCTAATAAAAAGGTTTGGTCGCTTGCATATTGGTATGTCCTACCATGGCCTTGGCTCCTTCTCTCTCTCTGTTTTCCCTATTGCTGCCCTTTGTTTCGAATTCCTCACCTTTCTGCCTCTTTTTTTTTCCTTTCCCTTTTCTTTTACTTTTTCCTGTGCTTTGCTTACCCATCTCCTTGAACGCATCCTCTAACACCATAAATTCAGATCCTCAAGCAATTAGCCATGCTCCTAGTGAAATTCGAAAAAATCTCGACGTTGGTCAACATGGTTCGTCAGCTTTAAATGACATGATGATATTGGACGACACGAAACATACGGTTTACATTCATGACCTTGAACGTGAAATAGCAGAAACTGAGCTTCCCAGTGATTCTATCACTTTTCTGCCCGGAATCGGGGAGAGCTTGCGAGCAATCCCGAGATTCGTCGTCACAGAAGCAAAACCCATGTGCAATGAGCTGGTCCTCTATAGAGAACCAGCGTCGCTAACGGTACCGAAGGAAAGAGACACTGTGCGTAAGGCTTTGATTGAAACAAGGGAGCGGGCTAGAACAAATCAATGTGGGCGACATCCTTCCACATATAGCACTATATATCCGGGAACCATCGCAGATCCTGGTAATTCAAACAATACTTGTCATCCGGGGGATGCAATGGAGATAGATGCTGGGGTATAGGGAGTTCTGAGCTATCTCTCTTCTATCCTTAGACGGTCTAACTGGGCCATTATAAGTTTAAACTCGTGCGGCTACTCTATGCCGCATAGATACACTGAAAGGTCTTGTCGCCCTCTTGCCTTTAAGTCAACGCAACCTTGTCGCAAATCATAGTAGCTGTGTGGGGTTTAAAAGGCTCTATATGGATAGGGGTGGGAGTTATCATCAAACTAAATGCTCGATAGGCTCTCTATCTATTCAATTGTTGGGAGGCCAAGGTAATGGATATGCTGCGTATTTTGATGTGCATTGAATCCATAGACATTCATAAGAGATATTGTGAGTAGATTGGTCTCTTCGTATCTTACAGGAGGACGCAAAGATTATGCTAAGCATTCACTTACAGTGTAAGCTAAGTTAAACATCTCCTTTCACCAAAAATGAATATTTTCTACCGATGACTTTTATCCTAGCAGCCTTGCATTGAACATCTAACATTTGGTGGTAATAGTATTTTAAACAAAACATACCTGTCACCACAATAGAGTCTAACGGTTTAAGAGTGAAAGAGATATCCGATTCTATATTATAGATCCTTGCGTGAGTACTCATATATGTACTGCTGTAGAATGATAGTAATACAATTGTATACCTAATCAATAGGTACAGTGGTGTGCGGTTAGATAACGTAATCGGTAAACGAGCTGCCACTGCAAACGAGCTACCATCTTCTATTTTCCATAGTAAACAGCCTATTTTTGAATAACAATATCTCAACCAATTCAGTTTATCTTTACTTAAAAATTGATATATAACTTATTCTATAGTAGAATAATAGTATATAAATAGTTAAGAAAAATTTATACTATTTTAATTCTATCTAAATTTAATTTTTTTAGAGCCATAATATATAATTCCTAAATTCTAATTCTTTTAAGAGATCCTATTATATGACAAAGGCGGTAGACCTCTAAGAGGATCAGAACCACCCTGACCCCCAGCCACTAAATTCTGACCCCCTCGGAACTGGGACCCCCAGCTCGTTTGCAGTGGCAGCTCGTTTACCGATTTTGTTATAAGTTATAACGTATTTGGTAAGCACCCCGCGCATACAAGTACCCTACGCAGCTCTGTATACAGATCAATCCTTTTTACTACTTGAATATCTCAGTAACTAGAGATAGTAATAATATAATAATTAATATATAATAGAATATAGGGTAAACAAGACTATTAATAATTTTTTGGATTTTTTTCTTCTTCACTGTACTCTATAAAGTAGAAATATTAAAAATACTACTATAATATTTAATATTAAAAAAAGTATATTTTATATAAGTTTCTTTATTTTATATAGTAAAAATTTAGTACTATTATATACTTTTCTTAAATTTTTAAATTATTATAGCTTATAGTTACTGAGATATTTAGATAATAAAAAGAATCAATTTATATAGAATATAGAGCCGTACAGAGTATTTATATATATAAAGTACTTACTAAATAATATAATTAATAAATAAATAATAAATATAAGTTAATAACATAACTCTATATTTTATATAATTTAGTTCTTTTTATTACTAGAATATCCCAATAGATATAAGCTATACTAATATAATATTTAAAAATAGTATATATTAATACTTTATTTTTAATATATAAAATAGAGAAATTTATATAAATAATATTTCTGTTATGTGGAAGTAAGCTGCCTTTCATTAGGTTCGCTGTATGGGTATAAATATACTGCGGAGGGCAGTCAGTCAGCTATAGCAGAATATGGATTGACGATATATAATATTAGTCTGTCTCCTACTAAGACCAGTATTCTTACAGTTATTAAAGAATAAGTATTATAAAATTATTATTATAAAATTATCAAGATATTATAAAATTATAAAAGATATTTAATATAAAAGATTTCTAATATTTAAGCTAATTCATATTATTAATAATAGTATATGAATTATTTATAATATTGTCAGGAATAGTATTATTATTATATTTATTATTAATTTAATTTTTAGTATAAATAGTATTCTTATT